ATATCTAAGTGTGTTCTTGTATTGGCAATTGGAGTAAGAGACCTAGGTAATTATAATGGGAGTTGCTGCAAATCAGTGGAAGGTAATACCCGAATCGGCCGATCTGCTTGCGATTTCCGGATATAAACCGCTGAGTTTGCGATCCACACGTGCTTACGATCAACCTGAGGGAAAGCCTTTAGGACTTTATCCCTGAGCTGATGCAGTTGCGCCGGCTGGCGCCGGTTAATAAAGAGTTTAGTGTCCGTGAATGAAGCATTTACTTGCTTGGCAGTGATGTTTGGTTTGTTCTTCTTGGCATCAATGACCGCTGAACAGATGTCAGGTGTCTTCAGTCCAACAACAATCGAACGTGACCCGTCCGACATATTGCCGTGGTGTACAGGACCACTCGATAGCTGAGCTCTTCCAATTCTTCGCGCAAAGACAATTTCAGAGTTACTATGCTGAACTCCTAGTGCATTGAGAGTAGAGCTTACTAGAGTTTTAGTGTTCTCATTCTCATTTTCCGGCAATCCATTCATGATTAACTGATTAGCCATCTGGTCGCATGCTGCGCGTAGCAGCACAAGTTCATCAGCTGATGATAGTTGCGTTCGTGCTTCATGGGTTCTTGCTTCAACATCAGTGAGGCGGTCATGAAGACCAGTAAGCTTGGCATCTGTAATGGACTGAGCAGCTTTTAGTTCTGCACACTGGGTACGAACAGTTGCAAGATCCTCGGCAATTTGGTCAATTTTGTCGGTAGCACTCTTCATTCCATCAAGTTTGTTGTTCATTTTAATGAGTAAACCTATTACATTCATGTCTGTGACCTCACAGGTTACGCATTTGGTGCGAATAGCATTCTCAATCTCCTTATCCGTCTCCAGCTGTAATCGTGCTGCTGCACAGCAATAGTGATATGAGTGTTTACATTTAGCTCCTGTGGTAACAATCTCTTCAAGAGTCTTGAACTTGGTAAAACAGAGTGCACATAATGTACCAGACATTTTAAATAGAAAGAAGGTTCTCAGTGTGGACACAAGATGTCAGCGAGTGCTGATGTGGTAAGTCAGGACCCGGATAATTTGTTATGCTGCGAAATAAGGTAAGGTATAACCCTATCAAAATACCACAATAAAAACGTAATTTTCCTGGACTAGATAAAATTTGCCCAACTGAATTTAATTATTTAGAATATGCAGCAGTTCTTAATACGTAGTTCAGTTAATTATTGTACACTGTAAGTCTATATTTCACCACTATGCCAACACAAAAGTAAGCGACCAAAAAAAAACGCGTGCACTATGTACTAGCCTAATAACAATAATCAAAATCATAATAAAAATGGCACTGAAAACTTAATAAAATAAAAATTTCACAAATAAATCTTTATGGCAAAATACTTACTCAATATTCATCGTAATTAGTTGTAATTTATCGTTATTATTTGTAACTAAATGTCATGATAAATAATTGCAAGCACTCTATCGAGTTAAATGGCTTAACTGAAACCACGGAGTGTTCCAATCAATTATCACGTTCTTGTTTGACATTATGCTGCAGTAAACACTACATAAAATATTTATTGATTGTGTTACTACCGTTGAACATGCTGCTGTGCATTATAATAAAATTTATGCATAATTATTAAAAAACGTCAGCTTAAATTAACTGTTGAGCTAAATCAGGGATTGAAAAAAATAATTATAAAAATATGTAACGTTGTATGAAAGATAAATATTAAATAAGTTTTCTTATGTGTTGAAAAAATTGTTGGCCCTGAAAAGGACCGATTAATTTTACTCTGAATTTTAGTCCCTCCAGAGCAGCTGAAAGTAATCATTATAATTTAAAAATGAGGGCACACTTTTTTTAGTCACAAGGGTTTCCTTTTACAGTTTTCGTATTAAGAAAGTTTTTTAAAATGCCAAATTCTATGCCGTCGAATGTCTTCAGTCGTAAATAGTCGTCTACGGCATGAATCAAATCCACATCTTATATCCGTCGGTTTTATAAACAGAGAATCATGTTCTCTATTTACTAAACCTTCATCAGATGGCGGTAGGGTTGAAAATGTTTTGTCTGTGTTGTTGTTGTTTTCGTCCGTTGTCTGCTTAACCCTAGACTTGTCAACAAACGCGACCTAACGACTTTGGTCAAGTGATGAGCGATTTGTCGCAATGCTTCAAGAGCGTACAGTGTTGCCAGTTCATACATGTTTGACAGACAGAGACTAGAGAAGTTTTCGGCAACGCTGCGGACAAAAAACTACTTACGACTCTGGTCAAGCTATGAGGAAAGCCCCGCAAATTTTTTTAAGAATTTTTTTTTCAGCAATTTAACGTTTTCGAAGATATTTGAAAAAATTATTAATATATTCTAAAATGGTCAAGGAACAAAGTCAAATTTTATTAAATAATCTTAGTAAATATTGGAAGATGTAATAAAAAAAATATAATTGAGCGCGGCGTCATGCTCATACGTTGACCAGTCTAGGGTTAAGTTCGTCGTCCACATACTCATCAGACAATATAATCTTCCTTGTCGTAGATGAAAATGTCTACGTCGCACTTGTGGGTAAAATATTCGGCTCCGAAAAGAAATAAGAGATCGTCTATTGTAGGTGTTAAAAGAAGGCAGTCGTCGTCATCCTCTGATTCTAAGCGGATAGTAAAGTCAGTCACGTTGTCAATAATTGATTTTTATCTGTCCATTTTACCAAAAAAATTTAAGTGAATATATTGCAAACAAGTAAAAGTTTATTAAAAATACAAAATATTTTCCTGTAAATAAAAAATTAGTGTTCAGGAAGTTCTCTTACGTAATAAAAAATTTGTGGTCCTAAAAAGGACCGTTTTTGTATAACCTAAAAATTTATTATCTCAGAAGATATTTCTGGCGATAATAATAACCCTTATCTACATGGTGACATAAAATTCTTTTAAACATCGGTTTCCGTTTACACTTATTGCAAGTTAAGATCTTGCTAAAATGCCACATCTGGTGTCGTCGAGCGTGAGTTTTAGTCAATAGTCTTTTACGGCACGAACTGAATTCACATGTTATGATCCACGGTTTATTAAATATTAAGCTATCGTCATTTATGTCAGAAGAAACCGGCAACGAAGCCAAAAATGTCTTTTGGTCAGTGTTGTTATTTTCATCCATGCCGTTCGATTCATCGTTAAAACACTTGTCTTTGCTGTCGTTTTCCCAAAAAAATTCGTCGTCACATGAAGTCGTCAGGACAAGACAGTCATCGTCATCCTCCAGGTCTTGGCGAATAGTAAAGTCAGTCACGTGGTCAATAATTGATTTTTGTCTGTGCGTTTTGTCAAAAATAGTCAAGTGTTTGCTGTCGTTTTCCCCGAAAAATTCGTCGTCATATGATGTCGTCAAAACGAGGCAGTCATCGTCATCCTCTGGGTCTTGGTGAACAGTAAAGTCAGTTACGTGGTCAATTATTGGATTTTGTCTGTCCATTTTGTCAAAAGAATTTAAGTAAGTGAAAATATTAAAAATAGTTTAGTGACACACGTCCGTTCAGTTTGGCAGATGCTTTGAAATTGAGGTTAGTCACGTAGTCACATGCTTTCAATGAGTCATTATCCGGTTCTAACCTTCAGTACACTTGGAGCTACCTGATTGGTCATTAAGCAAGGGGAGGGAGTACTGCGCATGACAAGTGCGTTGGAGGGGATTGGGACTCAAAATTAACTCAGGTATGTAAATGTTACGCTGTTTTAAAATTTGAAGTGTAATTTGTTAATTGAAGCAGTTATTTATACGATTAATGATTATCGTGCTTTATAGAATTAAAGTTGAAATGTTTCTTTGGATTCATCTACCCTTTTTTTCAGTTGATAAAAATGTAATATTCAAAAGTCTTGCTTGTTTGGTGTACACAGGATAAATTTTGTTAAAAAAATTAACCAAGTTTTATTATTTATAGTTTATAATACGTAAATTAGAACATTTTTTGCTCCGCAGTAACTTTGAACAGTAATTAATCATTTTTTTTTTTATGATTTACAAAGTAGTTATTTTAGCGCTTTATTAAGCTCGCATTTTATTGGTTATACGGTTGGTTGGTAGAACAAAGCAAGAGGAATAAAAAAATGAGGTATTAACGCAAAATATCGTTGAGAAGTTAAAGCTTTCGCGATGGGATTTTATTCAAGTAGTATGAGTAAAAAAAAAACTCGTGGAGAGAAAAAGTAATAGTAAAAGAGTGAAATGAGGAATAAACTGAGTGTAAAAAAAATGTATATAGTGGTGTGGAATGAGTAAAGGTGGTAAACGATAGACTTGGTAAACGGGACGTTCGAGGAGTTTCCGGTTAGAAAGCCTCAGTAGAGTAAAAGTTGAAAGAGTGTACTGACCACTGGGATTTTTCTCGCTTCAAGTAATTTTGCTGAGCGTGCAAGAACTCCCATATACATCTACATTTACTTTTATTATGTTTTTTTACGTCTTTTATTTATAAAGCTAGTATATATTTTACTTTTCAAAACATTCCGGTAAAAAGGTGTTTGAGAATAAATTTATGCTTATTTATGAAACGGTAAATGCTTGATCTTGGTAGCTTGAAATATTGCATTCGGTTCTAATGAGTTTTTTTGTTTCATTTTTAATTTTTTTTTCTTCTTCATGAATCAGCGACTGAATCCGTCACTTGTATTTGTGGGTTTTAATAAAACTTTAATACAGAAATAAGAAAATTATAGTTGCTTCTTTGTTTTAGAACTTCGATGTTTTCTTTCAACTGTAAAGTTATTCAAACAGAATTTTCTTACGCGGAAAGAAGATCAGTTGAATAATTATAATATTTATGGTATAAACAGTTATTGAAAGAAAAAGTAAAATGTTTTCATTTCAAACTAAAGTTATTAAAAAAAGTTTACTATCAAATTATCTCAGAACTATGTTTTTCTGGTTGACGTACGGGATACCTCCGAAATTACACGGAGGAAATAAAACAGCAATGATTACTGTTTCGTACAAATATTAGAAAAATGTTCATAGTTAGTAGTAAGTGCTGTACGAAACACGACTGGTTAGTGCCAGAACACGACTCAGTATAGTGTGCATGACAATAGTCAGTAGTTTCTCTCGCATGGAAAAATATATATGCGAAAAATATATGCAAATATATATTTTCACATATATTTTTTATGCGCTAAATATATATCCGCATATATGTTCACATATATTCGAAGATATATGTTCACACATATGCGCGCATCTAAATGCAATATATATTGCAGTAGAGATACACGGAAAAAAATTTAACTTGAATCAAGAAAACAATTTTGAAGAATTTAACTTTCTTGATTTGAGTAAAAAAATTCTCAATCTTAGAAATTTTTTTTTCAGTGTATGCTTACATATATGTCAGCATCTGTGTGAAAAGTATATGTTGACATATTTTTTTTTGCGTACCCTTGTGGAAATTTTTCGGACTTTTTTCAGAAAAAAACTTCTAAAGACTTTTAAAGACTTTTTCAGAGTTTTCGAGGTTTTCTGAGAAAAAAGTCCGAAAAATTTTCATAAGGGTAAATATATGCGGCATATATATTATATATGCGACATATATTTTTGACATATATATTTCTCCATGCGGATCTATGTAGCGCTCTCTACTGTCTCAAACATTCTAACCTCATTTTCTTCTAAAGCAGTACTGAGTACTGCACAAAATAGTAATCAGTGTTGTTTTTTTTTCTCCGTGTACTGACTCGATTTTAATGAAATTTAAACTACTTATTCAACATAGTAATAGCTATTGCATTAGCTAAAATCAAATCAAAATTTTGATTTTTATTTTTTTTTCGATACTAAAAGCAGTGAAAAAAACTTCAGTCTTTTTTTTTTTTAATGTACCCCATATTGTTATTTATAAATGAATATTAATCTTCATACGTTGTGCAATAATCTCTTAATGTCTCTATTTTGTTCACATTGTACTTATAGAATAGTATAAATACACGTATGTCAAGAAAAAAGACTAATATTTAAGCATTTGATATTTTTGAAAGACATTTATTTTATTTGGTGTAAAAAAACTGGTTTGAAAAAAAAACGTCGGGACTTAAATAAATTTTCATTTGAAATTTGGTCTTGGTGTGAACAAAGACGTTTGTGGCTTTTTGCATCTTATATTCCCTCACAAGAAAATACGAAAGCTGATTTGGTTTCAAGAGTAGACAATATCGATGCGGAATGAATGTCTTATGAAAAAATTACCAGAAATTCAGCTGTTCCGGAAATGGATCTGTTTGCATTAACAATAGATACTAAATGCAGTCTGCATTGTTCTCAGCATCAAGAACCAGATGCATTTTGTATTGATGCATTCACTTTAAATTGGATAGGTTTTTGATAGTTGAAAGGAGTGAAAGAAGAGGCAGTTAGTCTTCTCCTAAACTCGATTACTGAATCTAATCTTAAACAATACAATAAATCTATTGTAGATTGGTATTATTTTTCCAAATCACAAGAATTTGACTTATATAAGCCAATTAACTGAGGGTCAGGTTGCGGACTGGTTATCTGAAAAATTTCATCAAGGTGCTTCTTATAGTTCTGTCAATACCTATCGTTTGGCTCTTTCTTTAATTTGTGGGGAATATATTAGACAGAGTCCTTCACTATCTCGTCTGTTAGAAGTAATTTATAAAGAGAAACCCAGTAAACTGTGGTATATTGAATGAATGTACTCCTCACAGCATCAGACATGCTTCAACATCATCAACTTTAGCTAAAGGAGTCGATTTCTTCTTTGTCAAAAATCTTGCTGGCTGGTCAGAAAACTCAAAGGTTTTTGAAAAATTTTATAATAGACCGTTTGTTCAAGATCCAAGTATATTTGCTAAAAGTGTATTATTATAAAACCAAAAAAATTTATTGATTATTTATAAAAAAAAACTATTGTTCAATTAAAAAATTGTTGATAAAAAAAATTTGAAAAATCCAAAAGTGCACGACTTATAATGCTCAATTAATTATGAAATAATAATAAAATAAGATTTTCCATCGCAACGCACTCTCTGATACTCCGCATCATGGTTCGTGGAAAAGCAAATGTGAAAAAAAATATAAAACAGCTGAAATAAGACGATAATGCGCAAGCGCCCCTAGTGGAATAAATGTACACAATATATGTAGATTACAGTCTTTTGGTTTTTTTTTAATTTTATTAATTGCAAATAAACGACTCTGAGTTACCCAGCCATTCGCATTCGATGATCTACAATTCTTCCAAAGACTTTTTTTTTTTTAAATTTGACTCAATCAATGGATTTTTTCGCAAGTTACAGTAGTTTCAGGGTTTCATACCCGTACAAAAAAAATTTTGGTTCCGGATGAATTTCCGGATGAACTTTAGATTGTGAAACAAATATGAATTTCATCATGAAAGTCAGCTGGAATTCCAGATGAATTTCTTGAAAATTGAATTTACATTCATCATTAGAATTGTAATCATATTTTTTGGATAACAACAGAATCTGAAGCTTGATAGTCAGAATACTTGGTAACTTATACATTAAAGACTATTTTTAAAACTCTTAATCGACCTTGCAATATATTTATAGATAACTTTAATGTTGACTCACATCCCGTACAAAAAAAATTTTTTGGAATTCCAGCTGACTTTCATGATGAATTTGGTAATATTATTCTGAATCTTGTGTTCTTCTACTCCAACAAATTTATCCAGATTGAAGTTTGAGGATCGTCAATGATGAGTCAGTGTAAATAAAAATAAAAATTCCATTATAATTGTCTCCGAATATTATTTCACAAATTAAAATAATTAAGTTTGATATACTATTTGTTTCAAATTCATCATGAAGTTCATCTGGAATTCCAGCTGACTTTCATATTGAATTTCGAATTATTATTTTACATATTGTGTTCTTCTGCTCCAAAAAATTTATCCGAATAGACGTTATAGAATTGCAAATGTTGAGCCAGTGTAAATAAAACTAAAAATTCCAATATGATTGACTCCGAATATTTTTTTACAAATTAAAAAAATTAAGTTTCATATAGTATTTGTTTCAAATTCATCATGAAATTCATCTGGAATTCCAGATGAAATTCATTATGAAATTCATATTTGTTTCACAATCTGAAGTTCATCCGGAAATTCATCCGGAACCAAAATTTTTTTTGTACGGCTACATGACGGACAGGAAAGTTTTATAAACTATTTTGACGTTTTTTTTTTCCGTTCCTTTTGCACTTAATAAATTTTTGAAAAGTATGCAGTTAATCTCCATTAAAATATTTCGACAATAGTATGCAAAATATCTTTATACAACTAACAAGGCTACAATAATAAAAAAAGTTGCCGAAATGAGGCGAAAAATATTTTTCGATCGTAAAGCACTCTCTGATGCTTCGTATCATGAGTCGTACAATGATTATATTTTTTCAAATGATACTCTGAACATCCTACAATGTGATCTCGAGAACGAAATATGAAATATAATTATATAATCGAGCGAGCCCGCCGAAGGCGAGCCATGCTCGATCGTAATTATATTGATTTCGTTCGAAGAGATCACACCCCACCCTATATTTTATTATTCAAAAATCATTGTATTATCCCTCCCATGATTATTTCTAGAAACAACTACTTTAAACTGCATGATGATGCTGAATATATGACGGCGTTACAACAGAGCTAACTTCATTTTATTTACAGCTTTCTTTGTAGTGACAATTGGTGTGCGAGGCAGTACTACAATGTGATCTCTGAATAGAAAAATCTAATTAAATAGATTTAATAGATCCAATTGAAAAAACTAATTAAATTAAAAGATTCAGAGTTGTATTATTTAAAACTATAATATTCGCTTCATCTGGAAAATAATATCATACTTAAAATTTCGGAGTTAAACATCATTTTCTGCTATCTAAAGCTATAATGAATACTCAGTATGTGCTTACTTCTTCAACTATTTTTTATGTCCTATGAATGATAAGTTTCTGTCTTGTATTTTTGTCAGAAGGGCAAGCTTCATAATTGGGTTCCTGCATTACTAAAATAGAACTAAACTTTTTATTGAATTGGGAAACTATTGAGAGCTCTTTCAATTCAGTCTTTCAATTATTCGCAGAAACCGGATACTCATGAAAGTATATTGCACACTCTGAGTATGGTTTACACATAGCATTCTCTCCATAATTGGATTGGAAATCAATCTGACGGCAATTCAGATTGTTTCGAGAACTTTAATATGAGAGAAAGTCTCCGAACTCCAGAATTTTCTATTTTTTTGCGTTATCATGATCATCTGTAGTTTTCATTATCTCAAATACCCCAATCATTTTTGATGGTTTTGATCCATCAAAATTGTTATACTATTTGCTTTTTATTGCTTCCATAAGGATTTACATGGGTTTGGGAGCTTCTCGAAACGGTATTTTCAAAGTCAGTTTAGCACGAATTTTCGCGATACTATTGACATAAAATTCGACAAAAGATTTTTAACTTCCCGCTAAAAATCTCAGATTTTCAAAAATCGGGAAGTTATTGTTTTCACCCCGTTTTCCAAAAATCGAGTTTTCATCAGATCTCGACGTTTTAAGGTCATAGGAAGCTTCCCTGACTACCCCCGCGGTGGTGTCTGTATGTCTGTATGTGTGTGTATGTGTGTGTGTGTGTGTGTGTGTGTGTGTGTGTGTGTGTGTGTTTTTTTTTTTTTTCCCTTTA